GGACCGCGGGGCAGCGAGCGTGCGGCGGGCTAGAGCGTCGACAGCGCCTGGCCGCCCCTGGCTCGTGACGTCATAGTCAGGCGCCACTCTTCCTCACGGAGTCCTGGGAAGGGTGAATGTTCGAAGGGAGTTTGCGATGCCTCTGTCGCCGTGGTTCTGTGACCTTGAGTAAGAAAAACGGGTGACCAGTGCTGGGCGACCTTTCAGGGTCAGTTCGGGGCTCCTGAAAGGGAGAGTCAACTTCTTAACTGCAGGGAGTGATGAAGGTGAAAGCAGAAGAGGACCCCTTCGTCCCTACGAGGTGAAATGGAGGAGGGATGAAGCGGGCCACTTGAGAAGGGAGTTCATGATCTTGGAGGTGGTGAAATAGAAAAGACTAAGGCTTCTCTCTCTTTAGGCTCTTGCCAAATGAGGAACGCTAGCGTTAGTCAGAAACACCCCCGAGGTAGAGTTTACCAAGACAGGTCGAGTTTGGCACTCAGCTGACCACCTTCCGTCTTTCCTCGCCTCCCGTCCCCCAGCTCTGTATCATCATTCATTTGCCGGACAGGTCACTGCCCTCCACCCGCGTCTTTTACAGAACATGAGGAAAGATCACTATCTTTAGAAATCACGCTTTTTGTTGATATGTAGTTTGCACTATAAGCAGAAACCCATCTTGAAGAGGCAGCTTCTAAATGAGTTTCCTAGTCCTCTCAACCCTCCCACAACCATTGAACCTGATTGCTATACTAAACTCCTTTCTATAAGAGTTTTAAAGTCATCGCTGTTCTCTTCCAAAGAACGCAAGCTGTAGTCTTCTCTAGAGGCTGATGTGAGACTATCATAGTGAAGAGATTAAAACACGACCTCATATAATTTGACTTCTTACAAAGGGTGGTCTGTTGTTGAATCTAAGGCAATTTTTATTTTCACTTCTTTTTTCTCCTTTCAGAATGGACATTGAAATTCGCATTCCTGGCCGGGCTTGGTGGCACACGCCTGTAATCCCAGCACTCGGGAGGCTGAGGCAGGAGGATCGCTGTGAGTTCGAGACCAACCTGGGCTACATAGTGAGTTCCATGTCAGTCTCAACTACATAGTGAGACCCTGTCTCAAAACCAAAAGAAAAAAACAAAAGAAATTCGCATTCCTTCCTCTCCAACTCAGTTTGACAGCCATTCAGCCAACACCCACCATGAATAGGATTATATCCTAAAGCAGTAAAAGAGCTCAGTCGTTATAAGCGACTTTTTCACAACCTGTTCAATAAATATGCCAGGCTTTGAGCAGATGCTGGGACTAATAGATTAAGTCTGTTCTCTGATTCACAGAACACAGAAGAATAATTAGAATACAATTAAGGTGCATTCATTGGTATAAAATGTATCTAAATCAGGCATATAAAACATGCCTATAAACGTTGAAGAAGAATGGTAAATGATTTAATAAAAAGATACGTATTGTAAATATAAGAGAAAAAGATGATTAGGTATGTGATAAAGGAAAACAAGTTATTAACTGAGAATTTGAAATCAGACTCTAAGATTAAGTACTGTGCTAGATGCTATGTGCAAAGAAATAACTTTTTTAGTGTCTCAAACATAGGTAAATAAAAATGTGCTCAAATAAGAATAAAAAGTCAAAAGTCAGTGAAACCAATTATTAGATATTAGAGCCTTTCCAAAAATATAAATAAGTCATTATATGTGTAAATATATAATTCCTACATTTTTAAAAGCCAATATTCTTTCATTTTGTTTGTTTTGAGAGGCTGGGCTTTTTTGTGGGGGAGCTTGAGACACAAGTCTGCTCCCCAAACAGTCTTATTGTGTATAGTTCGGGCTTGCCTCCAACTTGTGATTGTCTTATTGCTTTAGCCTCCTGATTGCTGGGATTACAGGTATACACCACCACACCTAGCTATAAGCCTAAATGTCAACTTCAAAATGTTAAAAGTTATATATGAATATGGCTATCATAATGTAAACCATGACTGATTTTCAAGTGAATCATAGAAGTAAAAAAATATTGTTACTTGTATAGAAGAAGCCAAAGTCATGTGACAAAGACTAGGAAGACTATAGAGAAACAGGCTTAACTTGTAAAAGACAACTGCCATTTACTGAGAACTTAACAATATATTCAGCTTTCTCTGTTAATCTCTTTACATCTAATTTGCTTTTGTTCTTTATGGCCTTGAAAGGCACATTTCTGTCTTACATCTCTATTTTATAGATGAAGAAACTGGTATAGAAAAGTTAAGTGATACTCAAGTCACATACCTAGGAGGTAGGTAGTGGAATTTGAATTCAAATGTATTGCTGTCAGTCTTCAAAGCTCATGCTTTTAATTCTGGGTGGTATAAAAGCCACAGAGATGTCTGGCACCCTCCGTGGCTTAAATATGATCTCACAGTAAGCTCTGGTTAGATAGAGTACAACACATAAAAAGATAATAGTCTTCATTTGTGTTGCCTTCAGCCAGCCCTATAAATAAACAGCAGTGATGGCAAACCTTTTAGAGCTTTCAGTGATACAAACAGCCTGCTGTGGCACACATGCCATAGGTTCACCCCCACTGACCTAGAGTAACCACAGATTCCCATCCTGAAGGGTTCACCAAGGAATCGTCTCATAAATTTAGGGTGAAGGATGATTGGCAGCATATTGGCTGCTAAGTAGTGGGGTGGTTGAACTTCAGAAAAGAGCAGAGAATTTTATGTGCTGATGGAGTCACAGAGAGTCCAACTCAAGAAACTACTGCAGAAACACAATAAGATGATAAAATTGGAGTCTAGAATTATGGCAGAAGATAAAGGAGGCAGGGAGACTGAACAATATGTTATAGATGTAGTTGGGCAGCACTTCACCAAGGAGCCTCTGTCTTCCTTCTTGTGACCCTGATAGAAGATTCAGAATGGTTCACACTGAGCCCACAGGAAAAGTATGCTTTTTAGTTGAAATGAAATTAAAGATGCTCTTGTTAGAAGATTCACTGTTCTTCACCATAGGGATGTAGTGGTTTCCCATGGAAGAATGGTCTTGTAGAGTCCTTCCTGTAAGCAAGTTTTCACATGCTGAGGGATATACTCTTGGTCTTGGCCAAAACATTTGGATTCCTTGACTCAGGCAACATGAACAGGTTTGTTGACATCCCCCACATTCTAATCTACCTTTGTTTTTCATCTTCCAGATTGGCCTGGGCTAAAACATCAAAAGACCCTAGGGTTGCTGCAGGTCAACAGTCCCCACTGGAGAAAAAGATCTTGGTAAATAAGTTATCTTCACAGCATATAATTTGGAACTACTAAGACAACAAACCCTAAGTTTAAAATCCTTCTATCCATCATTAGCCAGGCATGGTGGCACACATCTGTAATCCCAGTCCTCAGGGTGCTGGGGCAGGAGGATCACTGTGAGTTCAAGGCCAGCCTTTAACATAGTGAACTAAAGGCCAGTCTGAACTACACGGCCAGACCTGTCGCAAAACAAAAACGAACACCCGCCCCCTCTCCAAAATAAGTGATGCCATCAGGTAGCATCTCTACACTGGCTCATATTTCCCAGCCATTTCCATAGTTACAAAACAAAGTATGGGCTGATGTTCTAACCAAGCAAGTTGGAACTATAGAGATGTGACATGCTCTGAGTCAGATTTGAGACTGCTTATTTAAAGCTGGTGACCAAGAGGGGCTAGTGCAGGGAAAGAACCCTAGGCACCAAGAAGCGGTTTGATTTCTCCTTTTAAACCATGCTTCCAGTTGGGGAGGGTTCAAGGGGAGAGCAAATAGCATTTTACAGAAGCAGAACCTCATGCCGGGTTAGTTGGGAGGGCAAGAAGCAGTATCATGTACTAGATAACTACAAAACATTACTACAAAAGAAAACTACTAGATAACCTACAAAACATTCTGCAGCTGCAGCAAGTGTTCTGCCAAATGGGATGTGGGGTTTGGGTGCTTTGTCTAGCCCAAGCACAAAATGGTGATGAGGCTCAAGATGGAGTTGGGTTGGCTATCACACCAAGTCTCCCTCAAAAACGCAAAGTCCTGAGTTCAATCCTTGGTACTGGAAAAAAAAAAGTATCATTTTGAACTCTCCCAATAGTATACATTTTTAAAACTAGTTATTGACTTGTGGTGGGTACTTCATACTTTTAGAGCTCTCAGGCTTGCTTGGGAATAAGGGGACTCAAAATTATTACACTAAATAAAACCATGTATCTTGTTGGTGTTGGAAGGGATGGGCTCCTGTTTAAATGTGTACAAAGAAAAAACATGATCACATTATAAAACCCCAAACCTTTGACAGAACCTAGGTGGCATGCATACAACAGCAGCAAGATACTTGATAACTCAGAAACGTCAAGAGGAGTATGAAACACTCTGTAGGGAGCAGGCTCGTTCTCTTGACTACTGGTTTGCCAAAGCAGAGTCCTACTATAATAAAAGAACATTGGACATAATGGAAAAAGAGATGATGGGCAATGAAATAAAGATGAAAATGGAGGAGGAAAGAACCCAAGGCATAGAGGAACAAAAGCATTACTATGTAGTACCCGAGAGAGAGAGGAAACAGATAGAAAGGCACATACATCGAATAGGCCAGGTCAAAGGATGTAAGCACAGAACATTTAGACAACCACAACCCCTCAGTGAAATGTTACCGAAAATTATGCCAGAGAAGCATGGTATCCAGAAAGCACAGAGAAGAAAGCAGGTAAATGAAAGAGAACAGATACAAATTAAGGATCACCAGGAACGCATGATTCGAGGGAGAGAACTTACACAGCAAAGACTCAAGGAAAGAATTCTGAGAAAAAGTCAGAGCCAGCCACCTACACATGAAAAGTGTGGGAGAGCAAAGAAGGACATCAGAGAGCTCGAGAGAGTTCCTGCGTATCCACTTTTCCAGCCATGCGGTAGAAGTCGGGTGCAAGTGACTGTTCTTATGGAAAAGTCTCAGACCAGAGAGGAAGTGGATACAATTCTAAAACCAAGTGAAAGAAAACACTTGGCTCTACCCCACTTTTTGGGACGTCAAATAGAAAAATAAAACCTTAATAAATGTCAGTAAAGTCTCAGTGCTTTTGTGATGAAATTGTATCTTTTGATTGAACATATGAGAAAAGGAAAAAATGGGAACAAAGTCTTTATAAATATGGAAGGGTGGAGGGGCTGAAGGGAGGGCAGGGGAATGGGGAAAAAATAAGACCCAAGAAATGTCATATAAAAGTACAAGATCCCAGTGATGAATGTAAGTGTATTGTATACGTAAAATGTACCAATAAAAGAATCTAAGAAAAGTAGAAGGATGGAGTTGCAGATTTTTCCACTGCTTGGTTATCATAGTGATTAAGGGGGAAGAGATGTAACTCCCAAACTTGCTAGATATTCAAAAAGCAAGTTTGTGTTCTCTAAAATGGAATGAATTCTAGGAACAATGGAGGTTAAGAATAGGAAAAATTTTATTGAAAGAAAGCTTCTGACTGGGTGTGGTGGCTCACGCCTATAATCCCAGCACTCAGGAGGCTGAGGCAGGAGGAGTTCTGTGAGTTGAGACCAGCCTTAGCTACATAGTGAGTTCCAGGTCAGCCTTAACTACATAGTGAGACCCTGTCTCAAAACAAAACCAAAAGAAAGAAAGAAAGCTTCTGTCTAAGAGAGACAGAAGGGGGCTGGAAAGTGGGTGGCCCGGGACCGTATTTCCCAAGGAATATTTATGGAGCAAAGCCACAAGGTGAGGCGGGTTTATTTTTTATTTTATTTTTCATTTTTTGGTACTCAGGATTGAACTTGGGCCCTTGTGCTTACAAGGCAAGTGGTGAAGCCACTGAGCTAAATTCCTGGACCCTGAAGCAGGTTTAAAACTGTAAGACCCAATCGAAAATTACAAGGTGGGCATGAGCTGGGTCAAAATCATGACCAACCAATAAGATTACAAGTACATTCACCCAGGTAATATTGATTAAATGGAAGGAAGTCAACTTCAGGAACAAGTCACATAGCAGGCAAGCCACAAGGATTTTCAGTAAGGGTGGGCCAGGGATATTCCCAGGAAAGGCCCCCCCATTCACGTGATTGAGACCTATTTAGAATATCAATCACTACTATTCATCCTCAGGGGAAGCAGGAGGGTATAATTTCTCTTCTTTCATAATGTTGGCCCTCAGCAGATGTGTCTTGATTGTTCTCTATATTGGCTCTACATTGCTCCTCGTTGGCTCCTCAAGGGCCAGCCCTATCCAACTGCCTACAAGATGTCTAATTAACTTACCTATCTACGATGATGGTTCTGGGTGAGGATTAAGGGAAACCCCCCTTGGATGTGGGTGGCATCAACCACTAGGTTTATATCCCCTGTGTGGGATAAAAGGGAGAGAGGGAAGGTAGGCTTGCTGCTGCTGCTTTGATGCCTTCTTCCTACCACACCATGAACTGGTTTTTCTCTGCAATGCCCCTCTGCTGTGCTGCCCTTGGAGCCATCTGGTTATGGACTGAAATTGAGAGAGAGAGAAATTTCTCTATAGCTAATGCTGGATTTGCTAACAGGGAAAGATGACTTCCCTCCATTGCTTTTAACAAGCCTGGGCCTTCCTGGGCCCAGCTCCTTCAAACATCTCAGGAATTTTCTTTGTTCTGCCTTCCTGTATATGCAAATAAGATAAAACTCAGTACATTGTGTTAACCAATGAACCTGCTGTACGTGAAATTCTATAAACAATAAGGTTGCTGGGCCCTTCTGTAAGTGAAGGATTGAAACTTGTAGACCCATCTCTTCTCTAAGTGTGTAACAACCCAGCTCTGGCTGAGTTGTGTAGTCAGTCTCTCTGCAGAAAAATTTTTCCAGACTGACCCACTGGCTTTAGGAATAAAGCTGTACACTTTGCCTCTGAAACTTCTGAGTGTGTCTTCCATTCTCCTGGACTACCTGCATTGAGCTGTAACCCTAGAGCTGTATATACTGGCTGGCACTTTGCCATTACAAAGACCTCTACAAATTGTAAGCTGAAATAAACCTTTCCTCCTTTAACTTGTGGGTATCAGGTATTTTGTGTCAGTGAGAAAAGTAAGTAAGACACAGAGGCTGAGGCAGGAGGATCACTGCAAGTTCAAGGCCAGCCTGAGGAGCTACATAGTAAGTTCAAAACTAGTAACTACATAGTTAGACACTTCTCAAAATAGGGGGAACAAATTTTTTTTCAGCTTTGAGTTTATTCGTACATTTTAGGGATACAGTACAGTTACATTCATTGTTGGGATCTTGTACCTCTACATGACAGGTCTTGGTTCTCATTTTTCCCCTTGTCCCTGCCCTTCCTTCACCCCCTCCTCCTCTCCCCATCTACAACCACTTTATTTCCATCTTTTCATTATCTCACATTTTTTTCTTTTCCCTTTTTACCCTTCCCCTACCCGTCCCACCTTCCCTACACCTTTAGTTCCTTTCTTCCCATTTGTCAATGTCAGTAATCTTATTAGGATCTTCTGTATTATTGCAGATTATTCACACCAGAGAAACTATTCGGTATTTACACATGTGTGCCTTATTTCTTTCACTTAGGAGTATATCTTCAATATATATCCATTTTCCTATGAATGAATCTTTTCTCATTCTTTATGGCTGAGTAATATTCCATAGTGGCACAGTTTGTAATAGCTAAAACTTGGAAACAGCCTATTTGCCCATCAGTTGGAAACTGGATAAAGATGTGGTTTTCTATTTAAAAAAGGGGGGGGGAACAAATTTAACTCCGAAATCTGCTAGATATCTAAAACTTGAGTTCGTGTTCTCTAAAATTGAAGAATGAATTCTGGGAACAACAGAGGGTAAGAGTAGGAAGAATTTATTGAGAGAGATCGCATCTGTCTAAGAGAGAAAGAAGGGGACCAGAGGGTGGGTTGCCTGGGGACCATATTTCCCAGGGGAGTTTTATGGGGGCAAAACCATGAGGTAAGGCAGGTTCAGGATGGGACAAAACTATAGCCAACTAGTCAGATTATAAGTATAGTCACTTAGTACTGGTTCAATGGGAAATCACAAGGTGGATATTATGAGGTGGGACAAAATTATGATCAACCAATAAAATTATAACAAGTATAGTCACTTAGGTAATATAGATTCCATGGGAATTTAAGGGGGAAGCAAGTCACCCAGCAAGCATACAAGGGACAACAAGGAGTTCTGGATTTTCAGTAAGGGATGGGTTAGGGACGTTTCCCGGAAAGGTCTTGGTCCCTTACCCAGGTGATTAATAACTATTTAGAATACCAATCACTGCTATTCATCCCTAGGGGAAATACCAGAGTATAGCAGTTTCTCTCTTTTTATAATGCGTATAAGTGAATGTTCCTCAATTGCTTTTCTGTTCTGAAGACCCCGCTTTGTCTAACTGCCTTATAATTTCTAACTAAGCTATCTGCAATAAAAAGACCAATATAAATAGGGTTTTCAGGAAAATTTCTCAGACTTTTTTTCTTTTGTTGAGACAATTCTCACTATGTAGTTCATACTGGCCTTGAACCACTATGTGGTAGGGACCAGCCACAATATACAGATTGGTGAGGGGCCAAGTTACAGGCTCCACAGGCCCAAGGTTGGGGCTAACTTGCCTCAGGAACAGAGAAGTATGACTTCCTAGCTGTGTGGAAAGCCATAAACAGCACTCCTGAGACAAAATGGCTCCTACCTAGGGCAGTAAATTATGCAGACAGCGGAGTGTGGGGAAGGACCTTAATTTTTCCCTTTGAGATGCTAAACTTGGTCCTTGTCCTGCTATTCTAATCTTACTACAGTCACTATTCCTGGGATAGTATAATACACCCTCGCAGGTGCCGGCCCTCCATGGAATTTGGGGAAGCCTGTTCACTAGTTCCCAGTTCCCCACTGAAAATTGTATACTGTGCCTGTCTCTTTTCTTCCCTGACATTCTCTCTGCAGATATTCTGGAGTCTGTAGACCTCCCAATACTATGTAGCCCTGGGTAGCCTGGGACTCTTGGCGATCCTGCTGCCTGAGCCTCCCAAGTGATGGGATTACAGGCATGTGCCACCACAATGGGCAATTTCCCTGAATTTACAGACATTTGGAATGGCCCCAACCATGTTCTTATTACAGCAGATGAAAACAGACACAACAGCAAGACATCACAATAAAATTTCAGAGAAAGAATAGAAAAGCAGAGACTGCCAGACTTAAGGATTTGTCTCTGGGACCAACTAGCTCAAAAGCCAGAAGACATTGAGGCAATGCCTTCAAAATTCTACAAAAGAAAAATTTCAAGACGATTCTACACCAAATCAAAAATTAAGTACTAAAGTCGTCTAAAGACACTTTTATTTTATTTATTTATTATTTTGTTTTGTTTTGTTTTTTGAGACAGGGTCTCACTATGTAGCTGAGACTGACCTGGAACTCACTATATAGCCCAGGCTGGTCTGGAACTCACAGTGATCCTCCTGCCTCAGCCTCCCTAGTGCTGGGATTACAGGCATGTGCCACCACACCCAGCATAAAAGACACTTTTAGATGTATAGAGTTTTAATCTTTGCATGTGTATGTGACACTAGGGATTGTATGCAGGGCTTGTGAACTGAGCTCCATCCTCACCATCCCCCCACTTTTTTTGGTACCGAGGATCAAACCTGGGTCTTTGCAATTGCAAGGCAGGTGGCAGAACCACTGAGCTAAATCCCCAGCCCATTGCCCTTTTAAATTTTTATTTATTATTCATTTATTTATTTATTTTGGTTTTTTGAGACAGGGTTTCACTAAGTAATTGAGACTGACCTGGCACTCACTACATAGCCCAGGCTGGTCTCAAACTCACAGTGATGCTCCTACCTCAGCCTCCCGAGTGCTGAGATTACAGGTGTGTGCCACCATGCCCAGCTTTAAATTTTTATTTTTATACAGGGTCTTTGTAAGTCACTAAATTACCTAGGCTAGACTTTAATTTGTCATCCTCCCGCCTCAGCCTCCTGAGTGCTGGGATTGTAGGCCTCCACCACCACACCTGACTTGTTTTAGTGTGTTACTATCTATATTCCCTTACTGTTAGAATTTAGTGTCTCTTAGACACCCATTTGTCTAAGGAGGGATCCTGGTGTGGTGCTGCTGGGATCGAACCTTTAGCGGGCAGAAACTTAGG